ATTCCATTTTTTGGGGGCTCCTTTCCATAGCTTAAAAACCCATCAACCATTGGCTCCGAGATTTAGTTCAGATTTGCATTCTATTTGATCATAGTCTTCGATCCACGTAGTTTTTTTCAGAGTTATTTCATATAATTATCGTTGAACGAACAGCAAACAGCGGGTAGATTACATGTTTAATCGCTTACCTACCTACTTTACGATGCATGTACAGAGCTGACTCGTGAACACGCACCGTAAGTAAACTCGTACCTCATGAGCTATTCAAAAGTCATTGTCCACTTTTCAAGTATGGCGCCACACCGGTTTTCACGCTCATCTGCCCTACTGCTTTCGGCCACCTTAGCTGTCACGTCTTCCGCCATTGACTTTAGCCGTCCGGACGACAGTTTGGCTCCAGGCGCCGTTTTGCCGGGCGGTGAAACACCTACAGCGGATGCCGCTACAGAGAACACGAACTCCCCAATGCAATGGGAGGCTTCATCCTCTGGCTTTGTGCCCGTCACGGCTCCAATTGTTACCTCTAGAGGCAGCGGAGGCTGGTCTCAGCCAACAACACCGGATACACCTTCGGTCTGGATGCCAAGTAGTGGTCACTCCAGTGGCACCAGTAATCTTGATTGGATCCCCCCCTACCCAAGTAGCGACGGAAACAACGTTTGGACGTCACCGACATCAAGTGAAAGTGGTGATCACGCTTCAAGTGGTAGCGTAAACCAAGGCAGGATGCCGACAAGGGTCCAAGGCAGCGGGAAAACGACTCCAACCACGTCCTATGAATCTGACGAGCAAGGCTCCTTGGACACGCCCACCTCCGGAGGGGCTGAAGAGGCAGCTCCAGCGACGTCGGTCCAAGGCCCGTCACAGGCAACACAAATCTCTCCGACGGCGTCCTCTTCTAGCACGGAGTCATCATCAAACACTACCCCTTCCTCCAATGCTGACTCAACGACGACGACGACTCAGTCCACGGCATCGCCGTCTTCAACGACCCAGGAAGGTTCGGATACCACGCAGAACTCCACTAGTACCAGCGAGCATGCTCCATTCGGAAAGGTAACGTCCAAACCCGGCGAGTGTGTCATCGGCAACCCCGACAAATACGTAAGTGCGGCCGATATTTCGTGGATTTGGGAAAACCGAATTGGTCCCGACGCACCCAAACGCAATGCGAACTGGAACGTCATGGAGAACAAGAATTGGATCATGGACCGCATCGTCAAGAACAAGGGTACGCTCAATTAATGCGTCCGGTGGGACAGTACCGAAAAGCTCTCCAAGACTGTGGCTTCCAAGTTCCAGGCCATGTTGGAGCGTCAATACACCGCATGGAACCGTTGGCTAATCGGATACGGCTGCTGGCCGTACAACGAGATCAAGATTAAGGTTAGCTATTTTTGGGGTCGTTTACGGGTAGGGCCTGATAATTGGGTCAGGCGGGTTTCCTGACGGCCCTACCAAACACAGGACCAATTGCTAAGCTACATATTGAAGTGAAAGATATGAAGCTAAGCAGTTGGGTTAAAATGCTTAGACCACGATGGTCTGCGCGGCACGAGGTTCGTCGGCTTCAGTGTCGCATTCATCGGCATCACTGTCATTGCTGATCACATCTGCGCCCAAATTCGTAGCAGCAGCGTCCCCTTCGCTGCTAGTACCAGAGACGCCCTCGTTGTCATCATCACTGTCGACATCTACAGCCTCGTCATCTTCTTCACTGCTCGATTCTTCTTCTTATGTAGGAGGATCCTGTTGGAAATGAAACCTGACCCAATAATCAGGCCTGACCTGTATACGACCCCGTTAAAATTCTACCAAGATTAACATGGTTGGTTTTGCGGTCAAGGATGCGTCGCTGTTTGATTGGACGGACGACTCGCTCGGTAAGATCTATGCTGGCGACCTAGACGCTGATGGAGTTCCACAGTGCCCTACAGCCTGCTACAGGTTCTACGATGTGGGTATTCAGAATTGGTCGGACACTAAGGGATGCGAGAATGAGCCGTTCGACCTGTCGCTTTGGCCGAAACAAGGTCTCGAAGGCGGCTTTGGCTACGATTGGGGCCAGGGAGTCAATCTCGAGAACATGGTACAGAACATTGACGAGGAGATTCTCCACGTTGTGGCGCACGAAATCGGTCATGGTTTTGGTCTTCCCGACTTCTACGAAGAAGAAGACAAGCCGTCGAAAGACATGGCTCCGGCTATCATGATGGCCGGTAGCTCTGTAACCATTACCGACGTTGACGGCTGGATGCTGCGTAATACTCTCGAGAAGTTGAAGCCTCGCTACGCCTTCTAAGCATATGGATAATGGATAGACACTACTGTATGCTTGTAGCACCGACGATTTAGTACCGGTACTTCGTAGTACCAGTACTGTGATCTGGCAGGTTGGTGGAGATTTTGTTTGTAGTCCTGTTGCCAATAAGTCGATGTGTCCAAAGTCATTACCACTGTATTAAAAGACAATCGTACAGTGTTCATTAGATGAACACTATGCTAGACATATTTTGTCTAGCATTTGATATGAGTACACTGCTACTTAAGTACTATTTGTTTTTGCTTATGAATGCTTTCTTTAGAAATAACCAGAATAATAACAAAGTTATGGTATCTGAATTAGCAAAAATTCACACAATTCCTTTACTTCTTGAGAGTCGTTATTGTGCCAGACTGAAAACGCAAAAAATTAATTGTCAAGGAAATTTTGAGTCCCTCGTACGGTTAAATTTGTATACCCGTATACGGAGCTTTTGTGCCACTCATTTAGGGGCACTCCATTTCGAGAAGAACAGCGCCAGCAATGGATCGGCGCCAGCCTGCACGCGCGTCGAAGAAGCGGCCCTCAGAGGAAGCCTACAGCGGGGGCAGTGAGAATGACGGCTCGGACGCGAGCTGGGTGGACGACTCCGCCGTATCCAGTAGTTCCAGTGCGGCGACGTGGAGTGTCGAGGATTCAAGCGTGACTGATACGCCTGGCGAGAGAACAAGTGGAGGTAGTAGCAGAAGAGGATCTCCAGAAGTCTGTGCAGACTTAGTTGAAACGCAGTTTCAGTCCCGGGAAGCCTTTCACTCGTATCTGGACGATTATCAGAAGCAGACTTACCAGGTAAGGGCATTGATGGCACTATGTATTACATTATGAGAGTATTCAACGGGTTTGACCAATTTACTGTAGGTTTTTAGAGTGCGATCAACTAAAAGCGTGGCAGAACGGAACAGGCTAATCCAGAAGGCCCAGAAGCCGTCTTCAACGCTCATCCCAGAGGCATGGTGTACGTACGCAAAGACGCTCATTTGCACGCATGGCGGCAAGTACAGATACCGTGGTAAAGGGAAGAGGCCACGTCAGGAAGTACGCCCGATCGAGTGCAAGGCCCAGGTGCGAGGCGTTGACTGTCGGTCACTGCCGGTCACAGTCGGTTGTAGTCTGGCACTGTCGGTCACAGTCGGTTACTGATCGGTACTTTATGTAACAATACTATTCAACAGCTAACGTTGCTCATGTGTGTATACAGATAAACGCTTGCGTTCAAGTGGTGAACACATCCCCTCTTCATTTTGCAGTTTGCGTCACTAAGACTGCATTATCTCACAACCACGGATTGGGGTTGCGTACGTACCACCATTATCCCGCTAATCGACTGGCTATAGAAGAAGATGTTTTGGCGACGGTCGACTCCCTCAGAAAGTCAGGCACAAAGACGCAAAACATTCTGAAATTTATCGTGGAGAACACCAGCAGCGATCCAACTCCTCAAGATGTACGAAACCTAATCCGGAAGCTAAAGAAACAAGACCAGGGCGTGTCATCTCGTTCTCAACGCATCAAGAAATGGATGGTGGACTTTTGTGCTGTTCAAGGGAACGTAGGGCATATTTTTGTGGACCCATCAGGCGGAAAGGTTCGTTTTGCGTCTCAAGTATTGTGAATCGGTCAGTTTGATTCTAAATGTGTGTGTTTGGTTTTGTAGAAAATCGCTACGTGTATTACACTACAAACGAAGCACATGATTGACATTTTTAGCAGATTCCCTGAAGTTTTAATTATCGACGCAACGCATGGTACCAACGCCTCAAAGTACAAGATTTTTTCGTTCATGGCTCATGATATTTTCGGGAAAGGTCAGTACGTACAGCACGCTATCCTACAAAATGAACGAAGTGAAACGCTGTTTTCGGCGTGTGAAGAATTTAAGAAGCAGAATCCTTCCTGGACTAAGCTGCAGTGTGTGATCGTGGACAAAGACTTTACCGAAATTGGAATTTGCAGACTGCTTTTCCA